ACACCTGCACCTGGCTGCTTGCTTAGCCCACACCTTCCCACCCTCCACCAGGACTATGCTGTGGGGTACATGTTGAGACTGGGTGTCCCAGCCAGCAAGCTGGTGATGGGCATCCCAACCTTCGGGAAGAGCTACACTTTGGCCTCCTCTGAGACTGGAGTTGGAGCCCCAATCTTGGGGCCAGGGCTCGCAGGCCGGTTCACCAAGGAGGCAGGGACCCTCGCCTACTATGAGGTAATGGAGATAAGGGAGAAAGCAGGATTCGCAGCACCTGGGGAAGGGGTCCTTCCACCCCCACTTTTTCTTCTTTGGGAATAAAAGCATGTTCAGTTGACCTAGTATCCTTGAGGAGGAGGAAGGGGGTCAAGCCTTTTGCTCCTAAAAGCCTCTAGCAGGTGCAGTTCCCTTCAGTTCCCCAAATATGCCTCTGGCCACAGAGCAGGAGTTTCCCTTCTGGGCCAGGCAAGAGCAGTGACCAAGAGGCATGTCTAGCCTCTGCCCTGTGCAGACCTGGCTGGTCCTCAGAGCCAGCCAACCCACCACTTCTCACATTCCTGTTTAAGGCAGAGGAGGCACTCAGACCCCCAAGAGTCCCAAGCTACAGCAGCCTAGTTCTGAGATGTTTTCATACATTAGCTTGAAGCCTGCAGCCTGGAGGCTACACAAGTGAAAGTGTGGGCTGTAGAGGGACTGAATGAGCTTCAGGGAGTGACTGCTGGTGACCTGCAAAAGTTCCCCACACTCCTCCTGTCCTGTTCTCTGCTCAGGTCTGTGACTTCCTCCGTGGAGCCACAGTCCATAGAATCGCCAGCCAGAAGGTCCCTTACGCTACCAAGGGCAACCAGTGGGTGGGGTACGATGACCAGGAAAGTGTCAAAAGCAAGGTAAGCTTCCCCAGAGTCTTGCATGCTTGAGGACCAGGAGGGAGGTGGGATCCCTGCCAGGCTCCAGCACTGACATCCTGTCCTCTGACCCAAGAGCCAGGTCTGTGGTACTGTGGTCCCCTCCTTGGGGAAAGGCCACATGACACATTTCTTCCATATTCACCCTGGCTCCTCTTGACCCCTCCCACTAGGCGCAGTACCTGAAAAGCAAGCAGCTGGCAGGTGCCATGGTGTGGAGCCTGGATCTGGACGACTTCCAGGGCTCCTTCTGCGGCCAGAATCTGCCCTTCCCTCTCACCAATGCCATCAAGGACGTACTCACTGCAGCTTAGCCCCGCCTTCTGCCAACGACACCCTCACACCCTCTGCCTCCAGCTGGCCTGGAACCTGATCACTTGCTAAGTCCCTTGACTGAGCCTCAGTTTCCCTCCACTTGGAATCTGTGCAGAGGGCCACAGCATGGAGATTGGAGCTCAGTCCTGTGGACAGGAGGCGGCATACGGCTCTGGGGAGCAGACCAGTGTAAGGCACAGGATCAATACCCACCTGCTGATTAATGGAAACGCTCACAGACTCCAAACTCAGCGCAAGGGGATTTCTGCAACTTCTTTACCCGTCCTCCTTATGAAAGGACATCACTTTGGCAAGCTCTGCCACCAAGTAGGCAACCGTCCTACAAGACACAGTGACCATACTAATTATACCCTCTGCAAAGTCCAGCTTCAAGCCTTTGCTCAGGCACATAATCGTGTCTCCTATCTCACTTCCCTTTCCTAATTCCACAGCTGCTCAATAAAGTACAAGAGCTTAACAGTGGGTTGCACTTGCTTCAGTCTGTCTTGGTGGGCACACGGAACCTCTGGGCTCACTGCCCTTGTCTTTTCTGGATTCCTCTCTCTCTCTCTGAGGCTTGGGAGCCTAGAACTTGCAGAGTTGAGGCTACCATGTCCTTTGACAGATCCCAGGGAGCCTCCCCAATAAGCAGCATCCTCAGATTCGCCCAAGCATGGCTGATGGCCTTCTAGACATTAGTTCACTGCCATCCAGGCTTGCAAGTTAAGATCCTTGTTGAAAGATCTCATTGCCAGTTCCTGGAGGCTGGTAGACCCCTTGGGAAGGAAAGCCCCTTAATCCCAACATCTCATCTTTGCTGATCTTTGGAAGGGTGGTGGGAGCTGGTGGTGGGAGGAAAGGCAGACATTTTCCCACGAACCTCCTGGCCTCTCAGGGGCTGGGACATCTGCAGGCACTGAGGGACGGGTTTCCTAGCTCTGTACTGCTGGTCACCCACAGCTCATTTCCTCAGGGGCAATTCATTCCGCTATGGGCTGCCCCAGTGCTGTCCTTGTCCCCAGCCCTCTGTCTTTGATCTAGCTCCCCTCCCACTCATGCCTTGACCCATGCAGAGATCAAAGCTCCCTTGCTCAAGCTGGCCTATGGCAGGAGGGGGAGGATGGATGGACTAGGAATGGCTCAGAAGACCAGCCAGCTTTCTAGTCTTCATGAGGTGGAAATGTTCCCAGGCTTCTGTTAACTTCCAGGCCCCGGACATGACTTGACCCAACAAGACTCCAGATCCGTACTGCAAAACTAAAGAGAATTTGTTTGTGGATTCCTTGATGTTCGGATTATCTATGACTTTGGATAATCATACATTGGCCTGAGAGCTTGTTACTCTGCTTTGAGGTGCAGGGAAGGAAATACCTATCTGCTGCCCTGAAATCTGAACCAGCCGGAGTTGGGCAGATGCAGCTGATTTGAAGGTCAAAGCTCTGCTAAAGGCAAAAGGATTTGGCCAGAGCCTTAAGGATACCTGGCATTTCATCGGTGGCCAGTGGGACCAAGTGGTCCCAAAACTTGGACATTGCCTGCCCTACCATACAGGGTCTTTGAAAATCCCAGGGCCATGATCACTGCTGAAGAGCCAACTCCTATCCCCTGGGGCCACCCTTCCCCCAGCTTGAGACAAGCTATCCAGGGCTGACTCAGGGTCCTGCAGAATTAGTCACATTCGCTTATAGCTGCAGAGTCAGAGGCCAAGGATGGAGATTGAGTCTCCAAGTCCTGCTTCCTGCCCAGCAGAACACTGAGTGACCCAGCAGAGGACATGTTCACCCAGGCAAGGCTGCGTCCAATGGCCCTCCAGATCCTCTGCTCCTGAGGACCCTAAATAAATTGCATGTTTGATCATTTTTAAATTGTATGATACATAATACATGCTGATGATACATCATTCATGCTAAAGAGCGCATAAACCGTACTTCATTCTTTAACTTAAAGAATTACTACGAACTGAAAGCCTGGATGACCACCACTGACGGCAGGCAGTGGACACTTGGTGGCATCCTGAGGCCTCCTTAATCCCATACTTCCCTGTCTCTCCACCTGGAGGCCAGCACCATCCAGACCTTTGTTCTGGCTTTGGCCTTGCTCTTCTTTATGGGCTGACCATCTTGACCATCTTGAAGAAGACTCCAGACGTGGCCTGCGTTTGAATTTAATGTGTCTGAGATGACACCACGTCGATGTGCCCAGCCCCTTGGCTCACGGTCAGGTCTGTGAGATCAGCTGTGCTAGAGCCGAATCTCCTCATTTTATTCCATATTTTGCTTTATAGTTGCATAAGTGCTCTACAGTTGCTTATCCTTCCCCCTGTTGTGGGAGCACTGTTCACCTAAGATCCAGGCTAGTAGGCGTAATCCTACCATGAATGCTTTCATTACGTCTCCTGGGACCCAGCATGAACGTTTCCAGGAGTGGACCTACGTGGTTACACAGCCGGTACGTGATCGACGTCACTCCACACTGTCTCCCTCTTCCCAAAGTCATGGCTCCAATTCACATCCCACCAGCAGTAAAAGTTTTATTGCTCCCCCCAGCCCCACGCTCAGTATTTTCTGGCTTTTAAGTTATTACCAATTTTAACTTTTTTTGAATGAATACATGAATCAGTGGCTAGGATTGGGCCTCACCTGGCTCTTTTCCCCCACTAGGAATGTCCCTGTCCACCAGGAGATTGAAAGTATCAGAGAGCTGCTATCTATCAGGGTCTCATTAGCTCTGCCTATGACTTCATCACAGCTACTACCCTGAAGGAAAGCATTCTCAGGAATACATGGAAGATTGAGGCCTGGAGCAGGAATTGGGGGAGGCTGGTTTCTTACTGGCCTCCCTACCTGAGAGACCCAAGCAGCAGCCTAGTCCCTGCTACAGTTGGCATGCGCCCCCTCCCCAAAACTCACATTGAAATGTAACGGCTTTATAACAGTGTTAAAAGGTGGGGCTTCATGGGGTGATGTCTTCGTGAATGGAAGTGCATCAGTTATTTCACAACTGGGGTTCCCAGCAAAAAGGCTGCATTCGTCTTGAACTCCCCTCTGTCCTCCCTGCACTCCCACCATGCTATGACCCAGAATAAAGACCCTCGCCAGATGTGGGCACCACACTGCTCCACTTGCCAGGTCCAGCGTCACAAGCAAGCAAACTGCTGCTTACCGCATCTGTGGCATTCTGTGATAGCCACAGAAAACAGGCAAAGACAGCCTTGCCTCCTGGGGTCCCATTGCTGGAGGACCTTCATCAGGCCAGCCTTCCCCATGGGCATCTCCATTGCTTCCCTCTCTTGGACCCTCAACCTCCTATAGCACAAGTGGGAATCCTCAGGGACTGTGTGGAGCAGGGCCGTGTGGTCCTCAGGGGCAAGGCAAGGAGCCCTTACAGGAAAGGAGGTCTGGCCTGTCTAGGCCCCAGGCCCCTGGTCTGGGAGACCCAGCCCCAAGTGGCCCCTGAAGTCCAGGCCTACAGAGCTGGCCCTGTCTCCTTCCCCAGATGGCTGCTTTCTCCTACTAACCCCTGATTCCCTGGCATGGCCCCAGAGACATCCCAGTTCATCCCTTGGTGCCCTCCCCGCTCTTGGCACCACCACCCTGGCTCTAAGATCCAGTCAGGGTGATGGCGAGGTAGTGTGCTCCTCAAGGGGCCCTGTAGTTCCTCCCCCAGAGCTATTCCTGGCCTGGGTGCCTCCCCAGCCCGCTGTCCCCCTGCCTGACCTGACCCCACAGCTGGGAATCGCTTGCTGGGGGTGGGGCAGCTCCCAGCTATATAAGCCTGGACCTAGGTGTCCTAGCCATCCAGGAGGCCCACACCATCCTCTGCCAACCCCTGAGCACTCCACCTAGATCAGCAGCCAGCCCAGCAATGGCAGGAAAAGCCACCTCTGAGGCTCCTGCCTCTGGCACAGAGGAGACAGCGTCTGAGTCAGCCACGGAGTCTGCCACGGTGCCTGCCACAGGGCTTTCTGGAGAAGTGGCGGCATCAGAGTCCACCGGGAAAGAGCAGGCTGGGGAGCCCCGGGAGCCTGTCTCTCAGGCACCTTCCCCCACAGCTCTTCCAGGCCCTGCAGCTCCTGTATCTTCTGTAGCCACTAAGCCTGCACCTCCAAGTGAAGGTGACCAGAGATGGGGCGGGGTAGAAGAGGAGACAGCATGCAGGGGGCGCTCCTGGCTCCAACCTCTTCTCACTCTGGCTTCCCCTCAGATGTCCCCAGCTCCCCGCTGATGCTGACCATCGTGGATGTGAGCCACAACTCTGTGACTGTGAGCTGGGAGCCCCCTGAGAAGCTGGGGAGGCTGGGGCTGCAGGGATACGTGCTGGAGCTCTGCCGAGAGGGAGGTGAGCCATGCTCAGCTTTGTATGTACCCAGGGGAGGTGGAGCAGGGGGCAATGCAGAGGGAGGGCATGAAAGCAGAGGTCCTCTTAGTACCCCCACCTAGCCCCTCTTGCTCCCCTGGGGCCTCTGAAAGTGCGGGGCTGTCCTGTGACCTTGGAAGCCCTCTGATCCTCCAGCTCCAGGGAGCTTCTGGGTCACAGGTGGGGACATTGGGTACCACTCTGATGAGCAGGGAAGGAGAAGCAAAGCCTCAGAGGAGCCTGCTAGGGAGGGCAATGTAGGAAGGAAAGAGCCGAGATGCTGCAGAGTGGAGAACAATAGACAGTAAGGGGAAAGGGAACGGGAAAAGTTTGGCCCAAGTCCTGCTACCATTGTCCTCCTCCTTGACAGTCAAATTTTCCAGGGCTTCTACCTCTGCCTTGCTTTGTGATCTTGTAAATGCATCAAACCCTCCCAGGGCTTCAGCAACCCCATTTCTGGTCACCATTCTAGAGCTCTAACATCAGCTGTCTTTGATGTTACTTAACACTAAGAAGTCAGAGAGGGTGGGAGGAAATAAGGGCTGGGGAGAGAAGTCAGCTTTCCCAGATCACCATGGGGAAGGGAGCCTGATGGAGAAGGGAGCCCTGGCTATGTCACCCTCTGTTCTGCTCAGCCTCAGAGTGGGTGCCTGTGAATCCCCGGCCCATGATGGTGACCCAGCAGACAGTACGGAACCTGGCGCTGGGAGAGAAGTTCCTCCTACGAGTGGCTGCAGTGAGCTCCGCTGGGGCTGGGCCACCGGCTGTGCTGGACCAACCTGTCCATATCCAAGAGATCATTGGTAAAGCCCAGCCTCACCTCTTACTTCCCAGCCCTTACCTAGCAGAGAAGCCGAGGCCATCTGAGCAAACATGTCGCCTCCCACAGCCACACACACAAGCCACATGCGGGTGCTTTCTTCCTGGAAAAAGTGTCAGGTGGCTTCTCTCAGCAGCAAGGGACTCTGGAGGTCAAAGAAGCCATTTACCCCAGTGGTCCTACCCCAGGCATTGGGGAGGGGCTTCCTGCTGCCCACAAGGGCAAACACAGCTTTCCTGATCATTATTCTCAAAGTTGGGAGGGCATCTGTCCCCCTTCCCTCCAGCAGCCCTGGCAGCTGGTTTGCTGCCCATTTCCTAAAGTCTGGGTTCCAGATTCTTCCACATCATCTAGAACACAGAGACTTGCTTTCCGTGACCTCCACAGTCTTCTGGGAAGAAGAGGGGCTACAAAAGGCCCACCAAGGCTTCTCTAAGAGGGTAGTGGCTTGCTGGGGACCCAGAGGCCAGCTGCCGTCCCAGTTGCTAATATTTCTATTTGCAGGGTGTATTAGCCTCAATCCTATACTTGCTGCCCTCCCAGAACCGATCGGGTTTCAATCTGTTAATGGCAATGAGTCATTTGGTCTCAGGTCTCTGGGGACAGCGCAAGGCCCCAGGGTGAAGAGAGACGCAGGCAAGCAGGTGGCTTGTGGGCTTCTCCCTCTTCTTTCATGCTCCTCGACCGGGGGAAGGATGGCTCCCAGTGGAGGCTTGGAGCAGAACCTCGCAGTTCTGGACAAGGCAGACAGGCAGACAGGGTAGCATGGCCACAGGAGGGGTCAGTCAGGCTTGGATTCAAGGCGATTCTTATCCCTGAGGCCTGTCAGACTCGCCAGCTCAGAACTACAGGTTGTCGTGGCTGGTGTGTCAATACCAAGAGACCCTAAAGGGCCCAGAACTTCTCAGACAGTCTTAGATTCAGGTGTCCACAGGGCCACATTCACACCCTACTGGGCTGCAAGGCTTTTTTGCTGGTGGTTTTCCCAGCCCAGACATTGCCCGTCTTGGAGCAAGGCACAGCTCGCTCCACACGGCAGCTGCGGTATGGCTGTGCTGACACAGTCTGGGGATGGCAGCAAGCTCTCCTGCTGGGAGAGTCTGAGATCTTCCCCAAGAGCCCAAGGAGCTCAGACTCAGAAAGGCCTCTGAGGGCCAGCACCACAGAAGCCAGCCAGACTAGCACCCATTTCTCTATTAAAATTCCTCTGGCAGGAGAGGAGGGGATTTCCTGGAGAGAACAGGGGGAGGAGGAGGCCACAAACAAGTGTGAAACAGCCACGCTTCTTGTGGGCATGGCAGAGTGGGGCCTGTCCAGGATCCTCCGCTGCTCAGCTGTCCCTCCGCAGCCACCTGGAGCTGCCAAGCATTCCTGACCCCCTGCAGCTGCCCAGAGAGCATTCCTGGCCTGTGACCCTCCAGCCAAGTGCCTGCTCAGCTAATCCTTGGAGACACAGTGTTCCTTCTCAGTGTCGCCTCCTTGGCCGCCCTTCATGCCACGGCCAACTGCTCCCACCTGTTTGTTACTGAGGAGCTACCTCCAGGGACAGGGACAGTGACTGCAACAGCTCCCTTTGGAATGTCCAAAGACTTGAGTGGCTGTTCTGGATTAGGGTGTAGGCAGGAAAGTGGTTCTCGGCTATAGCACGGGGCCAAAATAGGAAGCCTTCCTAACTGTGAGATTAAAGACTAAGCGGGGACACAAGAAGAAGGTGCATACCTGCTCTGGCCTCATTTGGGTGGGAGAAGACTCCAATATTCCCAGAGGAATGAGCAAGCCAGGTCTTACAAAGAGGAAAGTCCTGCACCTCGGTGCTGGGGATGCTGGATCAGCAGGATGAGGGCTGACACCGCCTCCCTCCCCAGTTCAGGCCAACAGGTATGACACCTGTCCTCCTGCAGGGGGAGACAGAGAGCTGGCTGCTGCCCCATCTGGAGCAGGAGAATGCCTGGGCTGCAGGGCAAATCCTAGCCTGGCAGGGTGGAGATGCCACAGGAGTGCCTGGGATACTTACCAGTTCACACCACGGAGGCCTTGACCTCCCTGGAACCTCTGGACTCTCAGTTCCCCAAGGCTCTCAAGGGATCTGGGCCCCTCCACCTCGGCACTGAGAGTGCTGCACTCACGAGGAGGTAGCTGGGACACACCCAGGAGTCCTCTGGCTGTCGAGCAGCCCACGCCAGCTGTCCCTTACCCCTGTCCCAGGAGCCCCATCCAGCTGTCCACCTGCCCTGATAAGCCTAGACTCTTGCTTTCACGCAGAGGCCCCCAAGATCCGTGTTCCTCGGCACCTTCGTCAGACCTACATCCGCCTGGTAGGAGAGTCCATCAACCTGCAGATCCCCTTCCAGGTGGGTCTGCTTGCTTGGAGGGAGAGAGGAAGGTCGAGAGCCCAAGCTGGCATGTCTCAGGGAGCATAGGAAGTGTCAGTTTCCTGAGAACCACAAAGACTATCTTGGCTTCTCATCATGCGAACAACTCTGTTGTAATTCTCCAGCTGGGAACATGTAGGCAGACAGGCCCCAGGATAGGTTAGACACCTGGAGGACCTGTCTCTGGGTGGCACCTGTGGCTCCAGCTTTTGTAGCTCTGGACCAATAGAGTAGGCTCCCGGGCACAGCTGCAGACACCCCTGGAGGTGGTGGGCAGGATGGGGTCTGGCACCTGCCACATTCACCCAAGTACTCCTCCCTGTCAGGGGAAGCCAAAGCCTCAAGCCTCATGGACCCACAATGGCCAGGCCCTGGACAGCCAGCGAGTGAGTGTGCGCAGCGGGGACCAGGACTCCATCCTCTTCATCCGCTCAGCCCAGCGCTCCGACTCAGGCTGCTATGAGCTCACTGTGCGGCTGGAAGGCCTGGAGGCCAAGGCCACCATTGATATCCTGGTGATTGGTATGGGCCAGGGGAGAAGGGGCTGCCTCCCGGGACTCAGAATTGCCCCTTCTACCTTAGAGCAGCTGGCAGGTGGGGGGCAGGCTAAGGAAGCTTTATGGGAGCCGAATCTTGGGTGCAAACATTCTGTGGCAGGCCCAGCCTCACACTTACTTTCCTTCCCATTCCGATCCTGCAGAGAAGCCAGGACCCCCCAAGAGCATCCGGGTTCTGGATGTCTGGGGTTGCAATGCTGCCCTTGAGTGGACCCCACCCCAGGACACAGGCAACACAGAGCTCCTGGGCTACACAGTGCAGAAGGCAGACAAAAAGACAGGGGTGAGCCTGCGGGGCTGAGTGGGGTGGGGGAGGAAGTGGCCAAGATGTCTGGGAAGGTCCACCCCATTACAAGTTGTGGGACTTAACTCCAGGGCCACTGCTAACTGAATCCCAGGTGACCTCAGTGAGACTTGCCTCTCTAGCCCTCGGTTCCCTCCCAAAGACTGCAGGAGGCGCTGACTGGGATCTCTGCAGTGTTCAGTCTCTGAAGCTGTGTTTCTGAAACCTTAATGCGTGTAGGAATCACCTGGGAATTTGCTAAGATGCAAATTCTGATTTAGTAGGTCTTGCTGGAGGCCAGCTCCTGCCTTGCAGAAAGTGCCAGGTGCTGCTGATGTTACTCAGTTGCAGGCCACACTTTGCATAGAAAGGCCCTAGAATTCTCTGAGAACAGTAGAGAGCTCACTGAATGCTCATCTGAGTGCGCCAGGAGCCCTTTCTCCCAATTCCAAGTCCCTCGAGCTCAAAACTGGATAGTTGGTCTCCCAGGGTTAGGCCCTGCAAGGAGGGGGCTACACGATAAGCAAGGAAGATGAGAAGAGGGCTGAGAGGTGAGGGTGACGAGCCGGGGTACCCACAGCAATGGTTCACAGTGCTGGAGCGCTACCACCCGACCACCTGCACCATCTCCGACCTCATCATCGGCAACTCGTACTCCTTCCGGGTCTTCTCAGAAAACCTGTGCGGCCTCAGCGACACAGCCACCAGCACCAAGGAGACTGCACACATCCAGAAGGCAGGTGGGTTTGGGCTGGCAAGCATCCTGACTCTTGCCCCGTCCCTGGTGTCCCCATATCCCTCTCTGGGCTTCTCCTGAGTACTGCTCCCTGGATCCTTTGCTGCTTTGCTCCCACTCCACAGTTATGTGCACACACATACACACACACACACACACACACACACACTGGCACAGAGTGACTGGAAAGTAATGGATGTGGCTGATGGAGGCTAAGCACATCAGGGCAAACTCACAAATAGGCAGGCCCCCTCAGGTGGCTGTGCACTTATCCTAAAGCTGTGTATGGCCGCATCCACAGAGGTCTCTAGATTGCATGCAGAGTGTCCCTCAGGACCCACCCTGAAAAGCAATGTGTGTGTGATTGACAGACCCTGAAAGTTTATAAAAGCACAGACCTCCCTGCCCAACGAGAATACCACATAGATGAACACAGAAGATATGGGCTTTACTATCTCCAGCAGGTACCCCATCCTCTTGTGTCAAATGTAGAGCTCTGACCTCCTACCTGCCACCCACCAGAGGCCCTCCCCACCAGACTGCGTGGGCTCTGGAAGGTGCACTCTCGCTAACTCCAGACTGAGCTGCACAGAATTGGGAAGAAATTTTTGTTTCAAAAAAAGAAAGCCAGATGGGTCTCCAAAAACAAAGAAATGAAATGTATCTCCAGGTTGCTGGTCTCCACCTTCTGCTGGGATCTTCTGCCAAGTTCTCTCATGGCGCTGGCTTTCCTGCCATTCCTCGCTGCTCCCCCTACCCACCTCAGCCCCGAGCCAGCTATCCTTCCCTCTGTATTGTTCTCTATCTTCCTGAAGGCACCATGCTTTGCTTCCCAAAGATCCTGGGTAAGGCCACTCTTATGAGGCCTCCTCTGCTCCTGTAACCTCAAATTCTCCCCTGAATCCAGATATCACTGTCAAACCTAAGGGGTTTATTAAGCGAGACTTCTCAGAAGCACCCTCATTCACCCAGCCCCTGGCTGACCACACCTCCACCCCTGGCTACAGCACCCAGCTGTTCTGTAGTGTCCGAGCATCACCCAAGGTGAGGGGCCCTGGCCTGGGGCCCAGCTGGGGACATCAGGGTTGGAGAATCCTGTGGGCATCTGCACTAAAGGCTGTAGGTGCTCTTTAGAACTTGGTCCCAGGCCATACCCTTCCCTGACTTTGTTTCCTCTGTCCATGCCTCCAGCCCAAGATCATCTGGATGAAAAACAACATGGACATCAAAGGTGACCCCAAGTACCGTGCTCTTTCTGAGCAAGGGGTCTGCACCCTGGAGATCCGGAAACCCAGTCCCTTTGACTCTGGGGTCTACACCTGCAAGGCCATAAATGTGCTGGGGGAGGCGTCTGTGGATTGCCGGCTGGAGGTCAAAGGTGAGAGTCACTCTCCAGGGACCCTGCTGTGGCTGGAAGAACAGAGGCCACCTCTTTGGAGACTGAACCAGATACAGATCAGAGCAAAATCTAAGGTGGGAGAGAAAGGGTAGTGAGGATGGAGGCCAGGCTGTCTGCACAGCTTTCCCAGCAGGAGTATGGCCCACTGTGTTGAGGGAGGGGAAACCTTGAATGTGCCTCATTCCTTCCAGCTTCCCCAGCTCTAACCTGCACAATCTCTTCCAGCCTCAGCCACACACTGAAGAGTGACGGGAAGAGGCTGGGATGAAGAGACAAGGTAGGTGGCTCTGCTCTGTCTGGGGGAAGCAGGGAAGCAGAGAGGAGGCTGGAAGCAGGGCACAGGGGGGAGAAAAGACAGCAGCCAGGTCTGGGCTTAAGTCTGTAGTCACAGCCACTAACACACATGGGCTGGTGCAGTAGGTGGGCACAAGGCAGGGGTCTGGTTCTGGTTCCAAGCAATCTTAGTGTGGATATTCTCTTTGGCTCTGATTCCTCATCCTAAAAGTAGAGACAACAGCCCCTGTTCTATCTTCCCTCCCATAGCAGTTCTTAGGCTCTGGGTAAGTCAGGAAGGATCTAGAACTGTGTGAGGCAGAGCTCAGGCTGAAGGAGGCAGGGGAAGACAGCTAACCTTTCCACTTCTAACTGCTCTTCCAGCATGTGGTGGTGCTCAGCCTACACCAGGGCTGTTCTGGCAGGACCTGCTCTCTGCTGGGTCCTGCAGGCCTGAGGAGTTGGTCCCAAAATGTAGCTCCGTAGATGCCCAAGACCTGCATTTCGATAGCCATAGCTGTTGGAACCCTCCCTGAGGTCTCCTGGCCCCCATCCCAGAAGGCTGAATCTAGGACCCAGGAGTGGACCTAGTTGGCTCCAGGCCATGCCTCCTGGCATAAGGGTGCACAGGAGACACAGAGGTGAGCCCACCCTGCAGAGCTGTGCACTGGAGGTGAAGCACCCAAATAAAGGTGTGGCGTGATGACACCAGCACGGGACCTCTGTGTCAGTGAGCGTCATTGAGAGGTCACTATGCAGGGGCATCTGAATGCGCCACCATGAGGAAGGTGCCATCAGGAAGGGTCTCAAGATGTCATGGGGCATTTTCTAAGCATCAGTGGTCTAGACCTTGCTTTCTGACTTAGGGTTTGCTACCCAAATGTGTAACTATAGCAATAGAAACACCGCCCTGGCACCCTCCTGACTCCAGCCACCCCCACGTCCCCCTCTTGTCACTTCTTCCTGCCCCCGTTCTGTCTTCTCTGCTGAGGTTGTCTTGGTTCCTCTGACACTGGTGGGGTGGGTGCAAGTGACGCTATCTCCATCAGGGTTCAGGGTCTTTTATTTGTCACATGGGCCTCCACTGGAAGCCAGGGATACCCCACCTCCAACAAAAGTAGAAGCCTGGAGCCAGTCTTCACACTCAGAAACCATGAACTCAACACCAACAGTCTCCACCCCTCCTTCCACAATGGGGCTTCATCTTTCCCAGAGCCTCAGGCCTGGCCTCCATCTGCACTCCAGTTTCTGAGGTCCCCCCAAAGTGAGCCAAATGCCAGGGCAATTTAGGGTATTAAGTGCCCGTGAGAGCCTTCTCCACCCCTCTGGAGGGTGGTCCCTTCCAGCCTGGCCCGGCCCCCACACCCAGCCCAGGAGTCAGTCTCCCGGATGTTTCTTTCTTCATCCCATCCCGAAGAAGGCTGAATGCACCCGAGAACCGAAGCGTTCTTCTCCATCAGCCCCAGAAGCAGCAGCAACGGTGTCCCTTCGGACAGTCCAGGCCTGTCACCGTGGGCTGATGGAACGCGATGGCCCAGAACACAGGAAGTTACCCTTCCGGATATTTGGAAACGCAGGGCAAGGGGGGGGCTCTGTGCTGCCCCCTGGCGGACGCTTGAGGCCGGTGGCTACAGAACCTTGCTCCCCAGGGTCTGGTGGAGAATAAAGCAAATGTGAAAATGATTTCCCGACTACCCCTTCTGCCTCTCTCAAGGATAATCTTGGGCTGCCCAGGGTTAGGACAGCAGGCACCATGACCCTGTCATCATCAAAATGCAGAATCCTTGAGGCTGGCAAATGATGTTCCTTGATCCTGCCCTTTAGCTGTTCCTGGCCTCCTTCTGGAGAATAGTAGAGAAAGGGGGAAGAGAACAGCATCATTTCTCACACCCATCCTGGGAGGGGTTCGCTCCCGTCCTGAAGCTGGGTCCCAGGCAGGACTATGCCACCAACATCTAAGACCAGCAGATTCCCTGTGTGGCTTTGGGAGCCTGAAAATCCTCACCCATCCCCAGAGCTTCTTCCTGCCCAGGACATGCCCAACCCTGAAGCACTGGACCATGCATGGGATGGTAGGGCAGGAAAGGGGGCTCAAAACACTTTCCTCTTGCCTCATACCATGTGGTTCCTTCCCAGGTACTGCCACCCCAAGCCTGCTCCTGGTCCCCGAGATGCAGGGGACCATTAGCTCCTTATGGACCGGCCCCTGCTTTGTGGGCATCTCCTCCCCATGTCACAGCCAAAGTCCAGTTGTGGAAGGCCCAGCAAGACCAGAGGGATGGGGGGATGTGGGCCCTAGGCTGAGGCTGTTAGACATGGGCTAGTGGGAGCCAACATAGGCTAGTCATCCACCTTCTCTTCAGGGGGATCCTCATCACTGGGAGGCTCTGGCTGGCAGCGGAAGTGGTCATTCCAAATCTTCAGGAAGGTCACCCGGAACTTCTGGATGCGGAAGGCATAGACAATTGGGTTCATGGCTGAGTTACCATGTGTGAGGAAGATGGCAATGTAGGTGAGGATAGTGGGCGTGCGGCAGGTGGGACAGAAGAGGGTGATACAGTTCAGGATGTGCAGGGGCAGCCAGCTAAGGGCAAAGAGGAAGAGGATGAGAGCCAGTGACTTGGCGATCTTCAACTCCTTCCCATAGTACTTCTGGGGGTCGCCAGAGGAGGCCGACACCTTTTTGTTGAGCTGCTTTCGGATCAAGTAGAAGACCTCCAGGTAGATGAGGACCATGAGGAGCAGGGGCGGCAGCACCCAGACGAAGAAGTTAAAGTAGACCATGTACTCCATGCTGATGACCTTCTCGAACTCGCACTTAATCACAGGCTCCCCAGCGCTGCCATTGGCTGCCCATGCCATCTCCACCTGACTGAGATTGTTCCAGCCAAACATAGGTGTCAGGCCCACCACAAGGGAGAGAATCCAGCAGCCAGCGATGGCCACTGCTGCCCTCCGTGGGGTCACCACCGTCTTGTACCTGTGGGACAGGAGGGCAAGGTGTGAGAAGCTGCCAGCCAGCAGTCATGAAGTTCCCTCTAAGTCTCATCTGTCCCTGGGGGGTTCCTAGAGGATGCCCTGCTCCCCATCTAGGACCAAGAGAGTAGGAGGGGTACGGTCACAAGATCTGCCCAAGGTCACATGGAAGGTAATGGCACTGCCCTGTGCTTCCTAACATATGGATCACCAAAAAGCCAGGTGATTAACAAGTCACTGTTACACGAGGGCCTGCTGACTCCACTGTCGTCAAAACCTTTCCTCACTTGTCCTATCTTCCCATGCCAGCACCCTTCTCCTACCACCATTTTTACCTCCCATTCCTTCCCAATCACTACACATGCTTATGCCAAAAGTGCGGGCCTCATGAGACAGCAACCCTAAGCTTACTGGTAATGATTCCCAGGAAATAAAGCGGTGTTCCCTGAGTATCTACTACACACTAGGTACTTTCACTCATTCATTCAGTCACGCAATCTTGCAGACCTGGGTGCACTATTCAGCAAATGTTTATCAAGTGCTTTTTGTCATGGCTCTCTGGGCCATGGATAACAAAAAAGATCCATGCCACACCATGGGTGAAGGAACCAGTGACACAAAAGTAAGGAAATCGATAAGACAGCAGATGGTTGCTTGTTCTTCATAGGAAACAAGCAGAATGATGTCAAGGGCAGAGTTTCCCAACCTTCATGTCAGGGCACACAAAGAAGATGAAAACATTCTGATGACACGCAGGAGATGAGGCGGCCCATGGGCCAAGGTTAAGGGTTTTGATACTTTGGATGCTCCCTACTTCCTGTCCACCTAACCCAGCCAACAGCCAGCCTTGTTTCCTCTCCCACACTCTGGCCTTAGACGGTGTGCCAGCCTGGCTCTCTGCAGCTTGCCCAGTTGTTATTTTCCAGGGCTGCTCCTGAGAGGGATGGGGTGCCCTCTGAGCCTTTAAACAGCTTGCAGGATGAGGGCAGGGAGTGCTGGGGGTGGTCTCTGAGTCCGTGCCCTTCTGCCCCAGGCCTGCAGCATTGCAGCTTGCTTCTCAGTGGTGAAGCTTAAGGGTCCTCTCACACTAGACGTCAGTTTTTCTAGACCTCTTAGGATTCATGAAAGGCCACCTGCTGTGTACAGGCTATAGGGGCAGAAAGGGGGACAGCTATGAAGGAGAAGCTAGATACCTCCTTCCTGCACCATCTAGAAGACAGGCATGAGAAGGAATCTTTGGGCCCTCGTGTCACAGCTCTGCCATTGCAAAGGAGGTTAGGGCCCTGGATGATGTTACTCCCTGCTCCCCACCCTGGTCACAAGAAGATGCAGCCGACACATTCATTTGAGCCCCACACTCCTCCTGTTATGAAAGCTCGCCCCTCCCCTTAATCCCCAGCAGAATGACTGCCGGACCTGGGGCACAGGCTGCCAGGTGGAAGACCAGAGGGTGGCCCCAGCTCTGCAGCACGCGAGCTCAATGCCTCCTCTATAAAATGAGGCCTACATCAGAGAGCAAGGATTGAAAAAGATAATGTGTGCAAATGCTCTGCAAACACCCTGCCAAGATTCCTTAGTCTGAGGTCTCACCCTTCTGAGCTCTTAGACAAACACACACCTGGAACAATTCTAGTGTCCCTTGTGCTCAGCAATACACAGCCTGAATGCTGTTAAAACATCTTGCTCAGGTCTGGTTCCTGGGGTCTTAGAGCATCCTCCTACCCTCATGCCCAACAAATTGTAAGAAGGTCTGGGCACAAGTCTTTGGGGAAAGACCAAAGGCACATAGGTGGTTCTGTGGGACACTGTCTCAGCCATCAACCAAGGGAGGCTGGGACCAGGTCCCTAAGATAGGGACCAAAGGAGGCTGGGCTACAGTTGCAACCGGAAGGGTAGGGCCAGATATCCTGTCTCCTGTCCCATCTGTCATTTCTATCACATCTGTCATTTACAAAGCCTGTTCACAGTCAGTCTCAGGTGAGCTCCATAACTGCCCTGTGGGGAGAGAGGAATCCCAGGATTCTGCTGGCCCACAGCTCCTGGGCCCAGGCTGGCTATGGGGAGTAGAGATGCTGATGTCGGGCAGTCTCCGGATACCCTATGCCTGGCTGCTTTACAGTCGAATCTGCTGGACCCGCTCGATGAGGGTGCCAGCCCGAGACAGGCGTGCATCGGGTGGCCTCTGGAGCTGCCACTCAGCCTGAGGACTGGGATCTAACCCAGGACACCCATCTGGGCAGTGATGACCTATTGAGAGAGGCAAGATGGGCCCTGCCAGTGTCTCAGCTGGGAGAGAGGGCGGTGGTGGCCACTGCTAGCTGGAGAGGTGCTCCTTGCCCCCTCCATCCTTCACCCTTCCTAACTGCCCAGAGCCTCGGGGTTACAGCTTTCCTGGGGCTTCTCCAGGACTGAGCCCTGGGTGACCCTGCACACAGGGTATCAACCTCATCTATTTTTCTTACTATTTTCTCCTTGGTGGGAAAGGGCTGGGCCCAGGACCTTGGCTATGATGGGGCCAGCTCTCACGGGGCCTGGGGACATTTACCTCTCCTACACGTGGGAAAGTGGAGAGGAGATGCCCTTGGGGAAGGGGTATGGGAGGTTCCTCCAATGCTAGGAGATGTTCCTCCCAAGTCCTGGCCAGCCTAGAGAGCTGTGAAGGATCTAGTCAGAACATCGGCCAGCTGCAGGAGTGAGCGGTCACAGTGGGGACAAGGACGCACCAAAAGGGATGGGTCCACAGGGTAACAGGACAGACAGTTCCTCAGAGACACGGGAAGGAGGTAGGATAGGCTATCACCTTCAAAGTCTTCTACCAAGAACTGAGCATCTCACCTCTAAGGTGAGCACTGCTTTTTGGGGTCATATTTTGAAAAGCCAAGCTAACTCCACAGAAGCAATTAATAGATACCATCTTACTGAGGATGCTAATGTAAAAAGACTGGGTAAATGCCTGAGGCAATGGGGTGGCAGGGACCCTGAGAGGGACCATAGGGGAAAGACACAGAAGGGGGCTAGGGGAAAGAGGTCCCCAAATCTGCATGCACAGAGGACAGGGCTGAGGAAGCCACGGCTTCTACCTGGAGTGCCCTGCAGGGCTGCCACACAGAAGGAAGGAGATTCAGAGGCTAAGTAAGGGAGGAAACTCAGCAATAATGCTCCACTGATTAACTAGAGCAACGGCAATGCTGACAAGAGCTAACATTTATCACTGTACTTTGTGCTGGGCTCTGACCTTGTACCCTCCGAGCTAGCCACTATTATTACCCCCATTGACTCGCTGCAGTAACTGACGATCAGAGATTAGGAAACACAGCCAAGGCCACTCGGCCAGGAAGCAGCCAATATGGAATTCCTAAGACTGAGGTATCCCCACTTCCAAGGGCCTACTGGACCCTCTGCCATGCTGGAAGGTGGAGGCCCCAACATGGAAGGCAGCTCCAGGAACCCTCCCCGGATTACAGATTATGTGGTGCCCAGAGCTTTCCTCCTCCTGAATCTGCTCTCTGTGCACCGAGTGGCCTGTTCAGGTGTACCTGCTGCCCAGGCATGTGGGCAGCTGTCTCGTGGGCGGCCCACACAGCTATGGCTCTCTTTCATTCATTAAGCAGCTATTCAGCCTCTACCCTGCAGACTGGGGGACCAGGTGTTAGAGTTTGGAAATACAGAGGCCAGCAGGCAGGCATTCAGGAAAGCACTGCTGAGAACCTGGGGACAGGGACAGCAGAAAGCAAACAAGCCCAGCAGAGCTCCACAGAGTGAAAGGTCCCATCCAGGAACCATGCAGGGCACCTGGAGAGCCCACGAGGGGCAGCACTTGCGGCTGGCTTTTTCAGGGGGGAAAAGCAGGGGAGCTGAGAGCAGTTCAGAGGAGCAGACAGGGGCTGGGAGCTAAGGGGCCACTGCAGAGCCAGCAGGCAGAGATGGCGGCGCTGAGCCTCCCCAGCAAAGGTGCAGTGGCCAACCGAGGAACTGACAGCTGTGGATCAGATAGAGAAGGAGAGCAGCCCACCCCTCAGGGACCTGGGCTGGGACAGCAGCCTCAGGTAGAGAGGGCCATACTAGAAGTTCTGGGGTTTATTCTGAGCTCAGAAGGAAGCTATTTTTAGCAAAGAATAGAATGTAATCTCTGTTCTTAAAAGACAAGCCAAGGTGTGGTGTGGAGAGTGCATGTTGGCACAGAGTGAGCAGCGGCAAGAGCAACACAGGGCATTTTAGCCATCTGGGGGAGAAGAGGTGGCAATGCAGTGGCAGGAGTGGCACTGGGTGGACGGGTGTGGCTTTAGGATGTACTTGGTAAGGGGTGAACGAGACCTGCTGCTGAGTGTGGCTGTCTGGGTGAGAGACGACTCCGGCTTTTTCTCCTGTTGACAGTGAGGGGTGGTACGACCTCCTGAGTCTCCCTTAACCCTTCTCCCCTGGTACTGAACCCCTGCTGCTCCCCAGGGAACTAGACACCACCGGCAGAGACTTGCCATTGGACACACACCCTGCGCCTCAGGGCCTTTGCACTTCCGGTTCATTTCCCAAGGTCTGCATTCTCTCCTTACTCAGGTCTCAGTGCAGATGTCACCTCCTCAGAGAAGATTCCAGACAAATAGTCCCTGTCACCCAACAGCCTCCTGCCATTTTTACTTTTTCCCAGTAGAGGTGGTCTCACTTTCTGGCTCTACAGCTGAGTGTTGTATTTGTTTCTTTCCAGGAGAATGCACAAAGCTCCACGCTGACAGAGCCCCAATTCTGCATGCGCACCACGGCTTCCCAGTACCTACGAAGACTGCTCAATAACTGTTTGCTGGATGAATGAATAACTACATGTAGAAATGGATTAACAAATCTATACAGCCATTTATTCAGAAATGATTGACTGAGGATCTACCACGTGATCCGGCTCAGGGAGCCAGAGATAGAGACGAAGTGGCAGGTGCTCAATTAGAGATGGTCAGTGAGGAAGGCCTGGCCCCAGCCCTGGAGGTCATCACAGTGTGGGTGAGGACAACATTCACTGGTTTGTGCCCCCACTGCACTGGCAGCTGCAGGGGCCCACTGCTGAATCAGACAGCTACAGTTCCCTGGGTCCGTCCTGACATTAAGTCTGCAGTGGTAGATGAACAAGTGGTGCCGGGCCACCGGGTAGCTACCATCGTGTGCACCAAAGCAGCTCTGAGCCCAGCATTGGCCCTACGCATGGGGAGGCCAGCAGAGGCTCCCCTGGCCACATCTGGGCTCTGCAGTCTTCTCACACGCAGTCCAGAGAAGCAGGATCTCCACGCCCTGCTGAATCCCAGCAGGAATGTAAGAGTGACGAGCTCCTCAGGGGTCCTTTGCTTCATGAACTGCCCCCATTCGCGAATGAGATCACTTCCTGTGCACAGAGCAGTGGCCCTTCCCTGCCTATAAGATAGCCCTAAAGCATTCTGCTTGGTGGACCCAAAAGGCCACTCGGCAGAAAGGGAGAGGTATTACTGTTGCTGCAAGGACAATATTGGAGCATGCTGGTCCCGGAGGTGTTTGTTCTTGGCTTTCCTTCCCAGCTCTGCCCTGCGCTGTGACATCAGGAGGTGACCCCTGTTGGCTGCATTTCCTAAGCCCTGTGTCAAGTGGGTTATGGGAAAATGTAAGTGCTGAAGGAATGGTGGAACAAGGGAGAAAGGCACCCCTCTCTCTGTCCCAGCCCATCTCAGGCTATGATTATATCTCTTTCTTGGCTGGACCTGCCTCCAGATACACCCACCATGGGTCCAGTCGCCACCAGCCAACCTCATCCCAGGCTGCAGAGACACTGTCTCATCCCCTGGCTCTCAGGCCTGGTGCTGCAGAACCACCTCTTCGCTAGTCTTGCTACTCTCACTGCCCCTGTTGGCATCTCAGCGCTCCAGGCCCATGTGCCCAGTCTCTGGCAGTGAAGGCCCTCCGTTATGAATCTCTGTGCCCTGGGTTTGACCTCAGCAGTTCAGGGTGAGCAGGAAGAACTGAGCCCACACATCCCTCCAGCGGAGGGAGCAAGCTGGGAGCCAGCGGCCAGTCTCAGATGCACAGTGAATCAGGAGAGACAGAGACTAAATGATGGCTGTGGGAAAGGGTACTGTGGTCTGTATGAGAGCAGGGGTGAGACAGGGAGGGTTCTTGGGCCTGGCTGTCACTCTTTCTGTCACGTCCCCTCACCTAGGCCCTGGGCGCAAAGACAGGGCTGAGACCCAGCGTCTATCTGCAGTGCTGCAGTCTGGATGCCAGAGACCACCTCCTCCATCTTTTGGCCTGTGCTTGGTGGGGAGGGAGCAGTAGTTCATAGCTCTGGTCCCCTCCTTCTTGCCGCCCTTCTTATCAAGCATCTCAGCCACTTGTGACTGGAAACATGAATCTCAAGACAAGGGAAGTGAGCCTTTCAGACTATTAAACTACTTCCTGCAGAGAAATTCTTCCTCCCAAAGGAGAACAGGAAGCCAGATACAATCAAAGACTCTCCACTTCAGGGGCCAAATGTTTAATAGTAACATTGCCCGAGGGAGTCTGGTTCCCGCCCTGGGGAGAGGCCAGGAAGTCTAGGGCCTCAGAGCCCTGCTCCCCAGGGGTCTTGCAACATCACCCACCATCTCAAACATCGGTGTTCCGAAGTCCCTAAAAGAGGAGGCAGGTCAGCTCCCCAGAGCCAGCTGTGAGACCTGGGGAGGGGGGCGGGGCTCTGAGTTCCTTGGAAGAGGAGAGCTGCATAAACTCATTAGGTCATTAGTGTAATGGGCCTTGGAAATAGCTCTTGGTCACTTGCTGAGGACAAACAATACCACAGACTGGTGCAAAAGACAATTAAGTTTTTTTTTTTTTTTTTTCCAGAACCAGGGATTGAACTCAGCCCCTTGCACTTGTCAGGGAAGCCCTATATTCTACTGAGCCATCTCCCCAGCCCCTAAGGGTATGTGATTCATGAATGGGCCTCTACTCTGGGCAACCTCTCTCCTTCAGATTTGCAGCCCCTCTCTGGGCACTGTAGGTTAAAAAAAAATGAAAGCACAGGCCTTGCCCAAAAGGATTTACTCTTGGTGTGATGGGGAGGCCCAGCTCCAAGCACAGGGAGTGTCCCTCCTCTGATAAGAGAGCAGTGTAGCCTCAGTAGCCAAGACCAAAGTTCCAAGCAGCTGCTAGAAAAAAACCCTCACACTCAAAGGTCCCACCGGTAACTGACTTTCCAAGCTGGGCCATGCACGGTCCATGTGCTTTGTGGTGAGACCTCTCTGCTCCTGCACTCTGTTCTGCCATCTCTAAACAGATGGGTTTGGGTTTGATCAATGGTCCAGATGCAGAGGAGGCTACAAGGGGTGGAGTCTAGGAGAGGTCTCAGATTTGAGCAGAGCACATTTTCCAAGGACCCATTCTCTCTCCAACCCAGGGCCCAGAGTGTATCAGAATATTCCTGCTGTCCAGCAACCCAGGCTTTGCTCGTTGAAACAACTCCCTAGGGGCCTCTGAATACAACCATGTCCTGCTACTTCAAGGTCAGGCCCAGCACCCATATCCCTGTGAGGAGTGGCTCTTGGAGAACAGCATGCCTGACCTACATTAAACTCATAGAACTGGACCCAGACCCCAGAACTCGGTCTTTCCCCTCTGAGATTTGGTCTCTCCAGTTCTCAGAGTGGGGCTGGAGTGGTAGAAGGACAGGAGCCAAATGGTTTCACCTGCCTGGGGTGGCTGTTTCTGACTCATCCAGTACATCAGAAAAAACCCACCCCACCTGCACAGACTTAGTGACCTGTGAACAGCCGGTGCCGTGGGGCCTCCCTGAGATGACCATGCTTGTGAAGGGGGGAAATACCTTTTCCAGCATAGTGGAAAAGCTTGATGTTGGGGAGGGGCAAGCTGACCCGATTATTCAGTTTCCCATAAGCCTCTCTTCTCTGGCTTCTGCAGACAGTGCTCCCGTAGGAGAGACAGGAAACAGTCCTTCATCCCTGCTGGTGGCAGGGTACATGGGAAGGATCAGGGAAGGAGGAAGCTAGAAAGATGCAGAATTCCTCAGGCTCTGTGAGACAGCAGAGTGGAGCCACATCACTGATGTCAGGGCGGTCCTCTTAGAATACCTCATTGCAGTGGGAGTCAGGAGTCTCCAGCTCTGGTCCAAGCTCTGCCAAGAGGGAGAACCTTCCTATGCGGGGGCATCTGTGTGCTTATCTGAGGAATGAGGGATTAGAGGAGATACTTTGCAAGTTCTGGCAGGTCATGGTTCCCTTCTTCTGGAATGGGTCAGATCCTCCTCCACGGAGGGCTGAGCTACACTGGCAGCAGGAGGGAGGGCCCTGGGACACTCTTTGCCCCATGGTGCAGTTCTGGTTGCTCCCCAGAAGCCACCCCCTGTCTTAGGGATTCCACTCTCCAGCCTGTGTCCCCTAGAAAGGAAGATGGAGGTCAAGATGCAAAGGACAGAGAAGGAAGTATTTGTTGAGTGAACAAACGAATGAATGGATGAATGAATGAATGAAGTGCACTGTGAAGTAAGATGTGACTATAAACTGTGGCTTCCCCCTTATCAGCTTGTGGCCTTGATTAAGGAACAATTCCCCCAGCCTGGGTTGTGTCCTGGGAATAGCAGGAAGAGGAGAGGAGAGGGGGTGGTGTCAGCTTATCTAGCTGCTCAGCAAATAGCAGCAGCTGATACCCAGGCCACTGCCAGGAAGGATGCCCCTGACTCCATGGGAAACAGCCAGCTCTCGAAGAGATACAGAACAGGGTACAAAAACACAGAGGAGCTAAAAGTCACCTCTAGATCCCTTTGGAAAGCCAGTCTCAGGCCTTTCCCTGTTTTACAGCCAGCTCTCACACCCAGCCCTATCTCGCTATGGTCAACCCATGCCCCCTCCTCTGCTTGATGTACCTGAGTCTAAGGTGGAAGAAGACAGGGGTTAGGGAAATTGTTCATCCCAAACATTGGGTCTCACAGGGTCCTGGAAAGGCCAAACCCCCCATGTCATCAGGAAACTCTTGGGCAGTCACCCCCATGCAGGCAGAGGAGGGGCCATGCCCCTTCTCCCACCTCCTCTCTGAGCACCTGGAGGCCTGCCTGAAGCCATGGGGTCCCGGGCACTTGCCTGAAGGTCCATTTCCACTTTGGGACTGTAATCTTTCCTAGTCAGCCTTCTACGCTAGCTCAGGGCATAGGCTGGGGCTGGGACATTGAAGGGAGGGCTAGAGAGCCAGGAGTCACAAGAGGAGGAGCCCTTCCAATGCTTCCCTGGCCTGGAAGGTGGGGCGCTGGGCTCTGAAGGAGCCACTGTCCTCCCAGGGCTTGGCTGGTTCTCTGCTCTCCCTGCCATGGGCCCTTGGGGCTCCCTGAAGCTCACAGCATCTAGCCCTCTGCTCTGGCACAGATTTAACAGATGGCAGCATGTGGGAGGATAGGGACAGCTCTCTGCCTTGAAAATCGTTCCAAAGAAAGAATCCACATGGTCCTCAGAACCCAACTCTATGACGTATACTTCTCCAGCTTCTTTCCGAAAGTCTAAATTCAGTTCCTGCTGCATCAGAACCCAGAAAGATTTGGTCTTGGGGCCTGGCAGAAGAGCAGCAATATTCTTTCAGGGTCTGTACTTTCTTGCCACCTCAACTGTAGGTCAGCAGGGATTGGAGGTCAGCAGGAGCCCCAGAGCAGTGGAAAGTGGGGAGACACCAGCCCCCTCCCCAGGGAAGCAGCATGCAATGGGAGGGAGGCCAGCAGCTCACTGGATGGTGCTGGGGTCCGACTCACTGCCTCCCGCTCCCTAAGTGGGACAGTCAGCACAAGTCTTCATTGCCCCTAATGGACACAGCTGCACTGAAGTCCCTGAAGACGAGGCCAAGCCTGGTTCCACGCGCTCTGTGGTACTAGTACTACCACGGTACCTGGCACGCAGCAGGCATCCTCTAATATGTGGACAAGGAAGCTAAGGCATGTGAAGTGCTCAATTAAGCCAGGTGTGGTGGCACTTGCCTATACTCCCAGCACTCTGGGAGGCTGAGTCAGGAAGACTGCAATCTCAAACCCAGTCTAGGTTATTTAGCAAGATCCTGTCTCAAAATTAAAAAATAGAAAAGGGGTGGGGACATGGCTCAGTGTGAAGGAACTAGCTTCAGCTCCCATTACCACACGCAATTACACACAAAATAGTCATTTAAAAACAGAAAGGCAAAAGAGAGGAGAAAAGAGACAACAAATACAATGAATAAAAAAACAATTACAGACCTTATACCAACTACTTCCATAATCTTTTAAATTTGAATAAAAGAGAAGGGAGGGTAAGAAGGAACCATTCCAAGGCTTCCTGCCCTTCTCAATAACATCGCCCTGGGCAGTCCAGCAGTGCAGCGCACCACCTCACAGATGAAGAGAGGATTCTCTCCTACGGGAGAATTCCCACCCTGAGGCCCTGCTTGATGGTGCAGCCCCCAAATCCTGAGCCACTCCACTAGGCGGTTCCAGCAGGAGTCTAACCACACTTCCTCCTGCTACAAGAGCAGCTCCTCTCCTCTCCAGCAGGCCTAGGTCAAGCGGGGGAGGCTCGTTTTCCTCCTTTTCCTTCTCCTCTTCCTCCCTCCACCCCTACCAGTTGTTCTCCCTGGAAGAATGGAGAAGCACATAGCTGCTGCCAGTGTCTCCACAGAGGCCCGGCAAGACAGCTTCACTGAGGGCTGATCAATACACTCCTGGCAGGTACTCCTTCCACCTCTGCAAAGCCCTATACCTCTCTCACAATCTGCCATGACCCCGGATGGGGGAATCTCACATTATGAGGTATATAGGGGAGGACAGAGCTTATTAAATCAAAGCCTCTCTTTTTCCATCCACCATTCACGAAAACTTCAAAGGGCCATGCTCAGAGCTGGAAAAAAAAAATTGCAGAGAGCTGGCAGTAATGGGCTTTGGGGAACTGGGCCAGGCAAGAATCAGGACATGCACTGCAAGCACAGGAGGGGATGGACGTGGGCACAGTGGCAGCAGGGGTGCTGCACAGTGACTTCCCATCTCAGCTGATACAAACACCTATGATCCGATGGGCCCTCCAACTTTAAAGGCCAACCGAGGCCTGACCACTGTCCTCCCTGACCTGTACGGCTGGCACCCACTCTCGCCAACAGAGTACACTGGCTGGCCAGGGAAGTGAGGTCCAGGCAACACACAGGCCATAGTCTTTTGATAGGAAAAGAGGTCTGGGGAGGTGGGTGAGCTTTTTGCCTGCTGTATCAGTGAAGCACAGCCCCTCGCAGAATCTTTGTGTCCTCCCCTGTAGAGTGGAGCTGCTACCTGTCTGGCCCACTTCCCCATGATTCCGTGGTTGTCACAGGCCTGCAACTTTACATTCAGGCTCTCCTCTGCCGGGTGGGCAGCCAGCCAGAGAGGAAGGTGTCAACCTGTAGGGATGGGTAATTTGCCCAAGGTTGGGCCCGAGGGGCTGAAACTGGAACAGCAGCCCGGGGCAACCACCTCCAAAGCCTAGGTTTGTTTCCCGGCATTTTAAAAATCCTCTTTATTTTAGTGGAATTGACAATAATAATTAGATCATTTATGAGGTACCCACATGTGTGTATATGTTATG